CACTTGTCTTTCCATTTGGATTCTAGGACATCAGCAGCGAATGCACATCTTTACCGGCAGCAGGAGGTTGCATATTTTAATGAGGATCTAGAGGTGATTTCAAGTCGGGGTGAAGTAACCAGGATCAATTCAATGCCACGAAAACCCAGACAAGGGTTTTCTCCAAAAAGATAAATGTCTCCGAATCGGATATAATAATGTCATGACAGACCTACCCGCTTTCTGCTTCGTTGAGTTTGTTGGGGGGTTGAAATGGACACCGATATGTCTTGGCTGCTTCTCAAAAGCTTGGAACACTGTTCAGAATCAGAAAACTTACACACCTCAGCAAGTTTTGATGATTTATAAAGCTCAAATCAGACTTGTCACGGGAGGTGTTCAAGTGACTTGGCACATCTGATTTCACAAAGCGGAAAGCGGTACATATCAGAAATACGCGACGGACTGTGGCTGCTCATTGTTTTGAGGTTCAACTCAAAACACCTTGAAGTTCACTGTTTAAGAACTCTTTCATTTGGAGAACTGCATTTGTGTGGAACAAACTTCCTGAGAACGTTTTTCCAAATGAATTTATTCTCCAGCGATTCAAATTCAACGTGAATGACTACATTCGCACAGGCACCGCTCTTAGAGCGCCTTAACTCTTTCAGTCTTGGTGGTGCACAAATGGTACCACATTATTTAATACCGACGTGTCATAGTGGTACATTTTACGTACCACTTAATCAAAAATTATTTCCAAACGCTACGCTAGCACAGCGTGCGTTACATAATACATATAAGTAAGTGTACCACTTACTTATATGTATTACTGGTCATCTACTTTAACTTTTCAGGCAGTCACCACTTGTTGGGACAATATAAAAACTCCAGCTTTTTGATAAATGCTTTTATATCAGAAATCATTTCTCTGTAATGTCCACGAGAAAACCAAAATCTCTAAGCCAGATTGAATTTTCTAGTTCCGGAGTCGGTTCATCGCGTTGTTTGAAAAATTGAACTATGTTCACGATCGTTACTGAAAGCTGATAAACGTTCCCTTCTTCTACGATTCACATGTGTTTCAGTATTCCACATTTTACAAAAAAATAATATAGGTACCTCTATAACGTAAACTTTGTTACACATATACCTATAAAAATATTTGAAAAGTTAGGTTTCGTTTTCCGTTTTTCACATCCTCAAGTGCTACTGATGTTTTGTTTGCCATACTCTTCTAATTACCCTTTTGTAATGGGATCACGTCAGGTGAGCGAACTGTAAATTCCATTGCACCCCTTCGAAACATTCATTTGCTGGGATAGCTTTTAATTAAGGATTCCTAACTTATTCCCAGAGGGTGATATTAAGAGGCACCATTATACTGATAAAATAAATTACATTAAACTTTTTTACCAATAATCACTCATACACATAATTTATATCCCCTTATTGGACGCAGAAGTAACATGGATCCCCTAGTGAACTTGCTTTTAATCAAGACAATACTACTTTCCATCATTTTGTATGCCTTCACTGCCTGGGGCCAGTGCGCAGAAATATAAAAACTCCAGATCCAAAGTTTTATGAACGTCTGCCTGCGAATGGCTGTTAACGCTCCTATAGATACATACACATTTACCGAGACCTGGATACTAATACCCAATACGTGTATATCCGCCTGAGAAACTACGCCGAGAACATCTTTGAGTGAATTCGAACACTTCCTAACCCATCGGTGTAAATCTCGATGACACACTGAACGAGAACATCCCTAGATTCCACGAGAGGAGAAGCACATGAGGCACAGAAAACAAAACCATAGCTCACATCAGAAAGTCACCATTCGGCGGTTTCGGTAAGTATAACAATAATTGTGCCAGACACTAATACAACCACCAGTAAGGTGTAGGCGACCACCATGCTAACACTACACACAGAAGAGTCAGGAAACACTTCCTTAGCAGGTCAGCTAACGCTTCAGAAGATGGTCAACAGGTACAGTTCCAGATTTCACATTCCGGCCTGGATAGTTACAGGTTACCTGAGAGAGCCAGAAGACCATCTCCTGGCTTGTAGTTGCGGTTAGTACCTTGCAGCCATGGGAGGGTGTCTCTGAAAATGCGTCACAGAAAACCTACATTCCAATCTATATACTTCCTGACGAAGGTAGTCATAGATTGACCGCCGCGCGCCTCACTAGATGTAGGAAAATGTACCATGGTCTTTCAACCTATTAATGATAATTTTTCATTGATAAATTTTGCACCTAGTAGCAGAGCACATACTATGTGCATGTCCTGCCGCGGATCAAGTTCGAGTGTTTAGAAGAATTCCACTCCTGCAGTTGATCAATATTGAATATGTGTGAGCCACAATACACTCTAGCGGATTGAAGTGAAGGGCCTAATAGACCCACTCACTAAAGACCTACCTACCAATGAAAACTATTTCAAAATAAGAATAATTTGTGAAGGATATCTCCAATGAGAGTAAAACCAATGCATTTACTAAAAAGACGAAATCTAATAAATTCATTTAAAAGTATTTCCAATTGTTGGTTATTTATTAAATTTCAGAAAGTTTCAAAAACCTAAACATTGCCTTAGGCGAATTTCGAACACAGGATCACTTGTACTCAAGTCTAGGATTCAAACAGCCGCACTAAGTAACTGTTTACAAATATACAAATTAGTGTGACGTAAAACTATTTGAGTTTCAAACTCTCATTTTGTCATTAGGTGACAAACTTTTGAAAAATATCAGTTTCTTTGCCACATTACAAATTGCTAGTTCACTTTCCGAGTCCATGTCCTTTTTTTGGTTTTTCGTTAGAAACAAAATATTTTGAAACAAACTATGAATTCAATGATTACATTTTGTATTCAAGGACAAAACACAAGCACTATAGGAAAATCCTTAACTCTTTCAGCCACAAGAAAATTACCCTGTATTTTACCCATGCGTCACGCAAAAATAAATATTGGTTATTGACATACTTGCAACTTTTATTACACTTATTGAATAAATATAAATCTGGAAAAATATAGGTTTTGGTCACCAACGAGTTCAGGAACTCCTGGGGGGTGGTACACTATATGTACCACTATGCCTGTAACAATGGTTTTAATCAGATACGATAAAATAAAGTTTCCGCCGAATACTACCTTTGCATGAAAATCTTGGAAGCAAGTTTTAGTTTTAGATGAACATAGAGGTACACCACATACAGAGCACATCCATTCGGTACGCGCTTGTGCTTTTGCTGTACTACAATTGGCACATCTTCTTCTAGTTCCACGAACCGGCTGATGAGCAGAACTTTGCAGCCTCACTTCGGCAGATACTGTTGGTTTGTGTTTTTTAATAACTATCGGATCATGATCTGATCTGGTGAGCCATCAATTACTTGCCTGCGGAAGTCTTTATGTGAAATAATTTGTATGTGGTGAAGTTTTAACAGAATATATGAGTTAACCACACACACGTCAGCAAGTTTTTATCGTCCAGCATTCTGGGAATATTTTTTCGGGTACTATCTACAGTTCCACATGCATGGATATCTTGATCTTTCAGTTTCAAGAGCAACTTATAGGAGTTAAAGTAATTATCGAAGTAGAGATGATGGTTTTTTCCTTCAAGACCACGCATCAAATTCTTTGCCACTTTTGCAGCCAAATTTTCTTCAACTCTATCAATCGTTTTACCTGTATATAGTTCATATCTGTATAAATAGCCATTTTTATCTGTTAGTGCCCAAATTTTATACCCACGTTTGATGGTTTTTTTTTTGCATGTATTGCTTGAGACTACTTCTACCTTTGAATCTAATCATAGATTCATCAATCGCAACACATTCATCAGCTTTTAAATATTTCTCAAAATTTTTGGAGAGATTAGTGAGAAAGGGACGCACCTTATACAGTTTGTCAAAATTTGGATCTCACGTTTGATGGTTTATTTTTGCATGTATTGCTTGAGACTACTTCTACCTTTGAATCTAATCATAGATTCATCAATCGCAACACATTCATCAGGTTTTAAACATTTCTCAAAATTTTTGGAGAGATTAGTGAGAAAGGGACGCACCTTATACAGTTTGTCAAAATTTGGATCTAGTCTATCTGACAATAATTCATTATCATTGATATGTAAATGATTTAGCAGCCAACCAAAGCGGTTGAGTGGCATAAGTTTGCTTATATATGCATCATGTAAATCAGGGCTTGAGCTCCAATAGTCTTTGTAACTAGGAAGGCTCTTGATCCCCATTAGCAAATTTCTGCCCAGAAAAGCTTTGATTTCCGTGAGATTTGTAGGCTCAAATCTTTTTCCCAATCTCTATAAAATTACCTCTCCAGGAAAAAATCTGATACAATTCAGAAAATGAATTATTGACTGGCGGAAATTGTTTCAATTAATTTCTCAAGTGTCTCTTCTACAAGCCCATATGAAATCGAGTTCTGAATTTTCATCATTAAATACAACATCCTGATTGATCCATTATCCCTTTATATCCCAGAGATCTCTCACAAAATAATCTATTCTCCATTATATCACTGCTTGAAAAATTGCTGGCATCAGACTTATTATAGAAAGGATCTGATTTGGTAAGAATGCTTAGTTCTGTCAGTACATTTGTTCTGGTAACATCTTATTTTGTATATGTTTTTTACAAATAGACTTTTCATGTAATTGATTGAATCAATCAATTTTTGTATCTCTTTTCGTTTAGCTGAAAATTTCATATCTGACCCCAGATGTATTCAGAGAAACAAACATAAGGATGAATTAACAATCTGTAACTTTTTAAGAAATCTTTAACACTAACTGGTCTCAATCGCTAAGCCATTTGGTAATAAATTTACTTCAGATGATGGCCAGATGGCAAAAATTATCAAAAAATAATAATTTAGGTATATTTGAACCAACTTCAATTATCAATGATCATTTTAGACTGAATTCAATTCACACTTCTATAGGTTTTTATGGGGTATCAATATTCAAATAAAACTTCTTGCTTGTCATAAGTCATGAGTATATAAACTATTCTTAATTTCTAGTCATTAAATATGATACAAATTATGGCTCTATGAACTACAACACTCATCTGTCAAGTGTTTTTTCTTCTTTTCATCTCTGCTTCTTTCGCTCTTTTTATTTGTTGTTCAAGTGCTTTGTTAAATGTTTCCCCATCAAATGCTTCCTCATCATTTTCAGCTAAAAATAAAAAGTAAATATTTTTATTGGTTATTTTCTGTCTTTGAGTAAAAACAAATGAATTTTAAATGTGATTGACAGAAGTAATCTGTATACATTTTTCATTAATAAGGTTGTAGTTGACAAACCATAGTAAAACAATGACTTGTTAAATTTGAAAAAATTCTTACCTTCAAATGGAGCTTCTTCTCCTTCTGAATCTGAACTACTGTCATCTGCACAATGGCGCAAGTAAATTTCAGACAATTCTCTACCTGCAGGAACCTCATGTAGTGAGGAAGATGCTTTTATTTCCTCAACTTCATTTTTTCTCAGAGACTGTTTGGCTTCTGCTTCAATTTTTCTTTTTTCCCATTCCACCCGGTATTCCCTGAAAAAATATGTGATGTTGAAAATCGTAAATGCAAGGCCATTAATTATTTTGTTCATCAGCTGGGTCAAATAATTTATTGTTTATTTGCTATAAACATATTAAAACGATTGTGTAAATTGATATGAAGAGAAAAAACTACACAAGATATTTACAGGATGATGAAATTAAAAAAAAAACATTGAAAATAAAAAAATAGAACCCAAACCAGCAAATATATGATGACATAGATTGAGATAAAGGTGTGAAAATGTATTAGTGGTTAATTTATTTCCACTAAAGGTCTTAACTACCATAACAGAAACTGAAATGTAGAAATGGACCTCCACTAAACGAAAATAATCTATAGAGCCTCAGCTTCCCAAACAATCAAATACTAATATCACAGGATTTCAAAGATTTATTGAAAAGAACAAGAAAATTAATAGGCAATGTTATGAAAGGAAATTATAGGCAAATTAGAAAAAGCTTTAAATTGTACAAATCTTGGAATGTTCCAAGATTTGTACAACGGCTTAAACTATTTTTTGAAATATTTTTAAATAGGCATAATTATTTTATGACGGCTCATTACGAATCTGAAGTCAAAATTTGATGCTTCAGTCGCAGGGATATGGCCACTTAAAAGTGAGAAATTCACTATTTCAAGAACTAATAAAAACTTGTAAAATGAAGCTTCTTTTCACGATTGCATGCTGCAGACATTTGCCACTTTTTTTTTTCATAAAAAACATTCAATTTTTTCAAAAGTATATCAATCAAGTTGCCCTGGAGCACCAATTATTTTTTGTTGTTTCATAATTTGTATTACTTTGAAAAAGTGTATTTTTTGATTTTTTCTGATAAATAACAAAAACTCAGGTGACAATATCACGTAGAACATGATCCTAAAAAATTGAGTAATTTTAGTGAAATAAAAGTTGTTTATTCTATGGAAGTATTTGAAATGGGTGAATAAAGATCAGCAATATGCGATCGCAAAAAAACGGTTATATTTTACGTGTTCTTATTACCTAAAATGAGTTCTCAAAATAGTTGATTTTTTGGGTATCTCTGAAAGTAGATCAGAGCATAGTATCAACTTCAGATTTGTGATCAGCATCAATAAGTTTAATTGAAAGTTAACAGGTGAGCCTCAAAAACTTATTCATCCCAAAGGTACCTACCTCTCATATTCTTCAGCAGCTTTATCTACAAGTTTGAATAAATCTTCAATTCCTTTTCCAGTAGCTGCACTAACTCCACATACATTCAAATTTTCATAAAATGTATCTAGTGCTAAAGCCATAGATCTTGTCAGGTTACTTATGTAACTTTCATCAGCTTCCAAGGCTTCTTGAAAAGATTCAAAATCAGTCATCCAATCTTTTGCAAAAGAATGATCAATAATGTCAACTTTATTCATCACTACAATAAATGGCAGTCTTGCCTTAAACAAAATGGAGCATGCATAAAGCATGTTTGACATAAAAGTTACAGGAGAAGTACTTCTAGCAGTATCAACAACATATAAAATCACTGTTGGAAAGAATGATGCCAAAGATTCTGTGATGATCGTTCCTGATATTGACCATGTGAACACTTCGATCTGTCCTGGGGTATCGACGATGCACAAATCATTTTTAGATTTTAAGAGACAGTCAACAACTTCTGGGAACTTATTTGCATATAGGTTGAGCGATGTCACAATGGCACCATTTGGGCCCAACATATAATGTTTCATTACTTCTTTGTAGTTCACTGTGTCTCTAATATCAATATTAGCAGAAAAAGGCAGATTTATGCAAGCAGGGTCCAAGTTAATTACATTGGATGTTTTCTGAGATTTGGCTAATCTCGATACCAAAGAAGTTTTTCCACTACCAGCCATGCCTAATACAATTAGACATATCGGTTTTTTGATAGTACTTTCAGCCATTGATACTATTAATGAAAAAAACTCAGTAAATATAAATATACACCTTTAAAATAACATTTAACAAAGTATCAAATTCAAATGATAACAACCAACAATGCAAAAATAGCCAAAGCACAGGTATTGATATATGCCAAACCACAGGCAAAACTTAGAGATTCATCTTCTTCTTATTATTATTTATTTTTGGCCCCAGCCCCAGCTTCCACAGCTACGTTCAACGTTCAAATATTTATTAAGAAAGTGGAGTCGAACAGTGCGTTCCACTAAGCACTCACAACGATCACGGTTTTTGCCGTTCCACTTGGTTATGGGCGTCACAATCATTAACTCAAGTGTAATGGATTTTGGAGCGTTTTGAGCGTTCATTTAAATAATACACATGGCGCGTTTAAAAAAACAAAACAAAAAGTTGATGAGTGGTAATTTGTAAGTGATATCAATGAGTTCTATTAATTGTTGGTTAACATGTAAAAAGATCCATAAACCAACGAAGAGTGGAAGTATATATTTTTTATTTTAAAAATAATAATGAACTTGAGTCATATTTGAGCCGAATCCCTCCTTAATTTTTTACTTCTCCATCGTGATACAAAAAATGTGCGAATCTTTGTATAGATTTTTTGAAATTGATTGCTTCCTTCCTTTCATTGGAAGAATATTTCAACATTTTTTGTATCATGATGAAGAATCATGAAAATGGTAAACTATAATGTTCATTGATGTGTTGCATGCTATCGCGTCGCGTGTAAATATACGTTGCTGCATATAGGAGATTCTCATTTTCATAAAATATTAAAAAATGTCTGTTCTAATATCTAATCACTTGATCATGTCACTGCAGAGGCACAAAGGATTCATTTGTGGCATAGGAGCCAACACAGAACCCATAGATATATCTTACGAGCTAATGACTAGAACGCGTTTCACATATAGCGGACGGACAAATCGTGTAATCGCTGAAACCAAGATTCATAGAATATCCCTGTTGTTATCTGTCGAAGACACTCGACCTACGGCTCTCTTGATAAGAAAATAATAAAGAGATCGAATAAATTTCAGCATTTCATTCACAGAGCAGCTGAGTACAACTCAAGCGACGCAGAATATTGAAATACCGAATTGGTATTTCAATATTCAATGCTGTTTACATTTTGGATAGGTACCTAACATGAGTGAACATAACTGAAAACATGGCATTATAACATAGCAATCTCGAAATTTTGACCTTAAACTTGAAATTTCAAGATTGAAGTTGAAATTTCGAGATTATGCTTTATTGTTTTCAAAAAATAATCCCAATTTTTTTGTTCTAGAAAAGCGCAGAAGTGTCAAATATTTCTAATACTTGTTTCTAGGAAATTACGACTTTCGAGGTTGATCTCAAAATTTTGATTTCGATTTTAAAGTCGATGAATTTGTCTTGAGGTAATATGTGAATTATCTGCCTCAGACCCCAAAACTATGTATTCATTGTCTTTGTTTCCAGTTACTTCGTGTATCCTCTCTGGTTGTCAGATAATCAATGGAATCAGAATCAAGAAATGTCCACAAAAATCTTTCGAAAACCGCCCTATTCGGATATTCTCGATTCGGGTACTTCTGAGCATATGGATTAATAAATACTTAATATTTGTCACACACTTTATTCTGGAAAAATCGACCACTGACTTGACAATTCAAAATAGGCAAAGGAAGCATCGCAAATTCAATAATTAAAATCCTTATTTCGATAACATTTAACATCAGGTTTAAGAACAACATATATCATTCGATAAGAAACTAGGATTCCTTCATAATAGTCTCTATATAGGGGATATTCCGATAAAAAACATTGATGTTTGAGCTCATTCCAATGCTAGACGTAGTCTAACACTGACGGCATAGGTACAGTCATACATAGGTATTTAATATTTTATGCTTTTGGGCTGATAGGTACACTTTTTTCACTAATTTGTCAAAATTTCGGCAGTACTCAATTTTCGCAATATTTGGTAGGTACCTACGTTATCGTGACAAAAACCTCCCTCTAAAGACAATAAAAATTTCGAAATGAAAATTTAAAACATTTACCTTTCTCAACATTCTTACCCAGTAGAATCTCTGCCGGTTAATATACTNAGCGCGCGAATGTACGTTATTCGTTGCCGTTCTAGATGTAGCAGTCCGAAGGGCTTTTGCCCTGCCACAATTTCCATAGTTGAAATTCACCTTGTGCTTCGTCTAGTTCCACCAGGTTCTCGTACATCACTAGGTTCTCTCTTCGAAATGGCGTTTCCTTCTCGGAACAGACTGTTGGTTTTTCTCTTGAAGATGACCACTTGGTTATTGAAACACTTGTCGAGGTGTTAAAATAGCGGTTTGGTGTTGGGAAAAAACTCCAGTAATATTCATTACTATACCAAAGGTTCCAAACAGTGCATTACAAGTTCTAATAGGGGTATTGCAACAGTTATGCGGTAAAACTGTTCGGGGTTATTAATTAGTATCTGAATTAGCGCGATGCTTTTGTACTGAATTTGAAAATTATTTTTCAATATTGAATCGAATATCTTGAAAGTGCGATATTACTTCTCAATATGGTCGACAGCTGTTATTAAATCACAAAGAGGTGCCTGCAGGCCTTTGAATACTGTTTCCGGGGAGCACGTGGTTACCGGTAGAGTGCCCGGGGGGTCTGGACCCCCCCCTGGGCACGGCCTTATATAAAAGTTTAAACTCGATAACGTACAAGAATAATTGACATTCAACTTTAACCCCTAGGGAGTTGATTTTGAGTTTACCACCCTATGCACCCACTTATTTTTATGGCATGACAAAATAGACGAACCTTGTTGACTAATTTTTTGACGACCACCTTTTAGCAATTTATGACCTTTGCATATAGAGGTTACTTTTCTGAAAATTTTAAGTTTTTCAACTTTCCTGCTCCACTTTTGTTGTACGAGGTTTGATTAGGAAATATCCTTCACCCAAGATTTTCACGTGCACCACTTTCAGCTGAAACTTATTTTTCACTTCAGTACTAAAAGCATGGTGCGGTCTATGAAGGCTTACACTGTTTCAGTGATTATTTTTTTATGTGATCACCTGTTGGGATCATTACTTATATATCAAAATAATTTTTGGCATTTACAGGCGAGCAAGTTACATCTGTCCTACAGAGATGTTAGGATACGGTAAACTACCCTGCATAACATATACGAATGTCTTAAATATGTAAAATATTCACTTTATTTGTAAGGAATCATAAAAAGTTTTCTCAAAGTGGAAGAATGAAGAGAAATATAGATATTTTTTGTGTGTGAAAATTTATAAAAATACAAAAAATGTTAATTTTAAAATTGGCAATCTCACGTATACAAAATGTCAAGGATTCCTGCCATGAAGGTGTTACATTTTTTAATGTATTCTATTTTTAGAGTTATAGTAATATTCGTATTTGATTTTTAACTGATTGTCAATTTTATCTGCTAATATTCTCCTATAACGGTATATATGTGTTTTATGTTATTGTAATGAACTTGTATGGGCTCCTGAATTACTTTTAATATACTGGCCTTGAATACTATTGTTCACAACACATTTATAAAGCTTTCATGATCCTTTAATAATCAGTTATGAAAAATTTCAAATACCTGGCTTCACAGTGCTAACACTAATGGACGGCCCTGACAGCTGCCTCAAATTGTAGAGGCATAGGCCCCACAATGACCGTCTATCAAAAATGGTATAGTTTTTATGGTCATATTGCTGCTGGTTCAACTTTTCCCATTAGAACAGTTTTTTGCTCAAGAAGGGCTGATTGGTTGGTATTGTGGGTGCGCTCCAAATAGTATTTCAAATATTTCACTTGTTGGATCAATTTCTTGTTAACATTCTCAATATATACTTGCAACTGTTTAATTTTGTCAGTTATTTCTTTATGGACAAATTGTTGCCCCTCATTGATTTTACTGAAAAGTTTTTGCTGCATCCTCAATTCTTGATCTTGCCGTTCTTTTTTTCATTTTAATTTCTTGTTGTTCTGTGTTTCAACAATGCTCCTTGGTCCATGTTTCTTTTCTCTTTTCATTTCTTTTGTTTTTTTTCAGCAATATCATTAGGTCATCTATTCCTTTTGAATATTTCTTCTGCATTGAAAATGTTTGTTTGCATTGTTACATATGTTTGGGTTCTTAATAATTAGTAGTGACGTTAATTCATTTCAATGTTATTCAATAACACAAAATGTTGAAAGTAACCTTTTCTTGATTCAAGACTTAATGGATATATGTTAATCAACAAATAAATAGAAACATTCCGGTTCCCATTATTATCGTACTGTTTTGAATATTTTTCAATAGTTAATGTTAGGATAGACATCAAACTCATATAAAAGCACCATCAAATGTCATGCATATAATTAGTAATGACAAAATAAAAATTAAAACAAATATATACATAATGTGATACAAATTAAACTTAATATTTGGTATATTTTTTGTTACACAAAGCTTAAAATTACATAAGTTTATAACAATACTTATAACTCAACAATTTGGATTTGAAACTATCAACTTCATTTTGCTACCATTCAATGTATTATTTTCAGACCAATAAGAGACATGAGCCCGATATCACTTGATTAGTTGATGATAGTGAACTTAAACTGGTTAATTGCTACTGCAATATTCTCAATATTCTATAAATTCTTTGCCTTGAAAATAATCTATTGTATGGTTATCATACTGGCCAAAAAGTTTAAAAAAACACTATTGCAGATACAGTTTAGCCTTGTTTCTCTATAATATTTGAGATTTGAGCATTATATAACTGTTCAAATAGGGTAAACCTCAAGCATTTTGTTTATACAGCGGGATCCTTACAAATTTTAGATGCCATTTCTGCTAAAGGTTCCAGTTCTTTAGTGCTAACCAGTTCAAATTCTGTTACAAAGTAGTAAAAATGCTTGTAACAGGTATTAACGTGTGCCTCCTGAAAAAGAAATCCACTATTAATAGATTACTTTAATATAAAATGAATGACCTTACTGCTGCTATAGTGACAATATTTTGGAAATGATGAATGTAGACATGAACAAATACTCTGTGCAATCTTGCCAGAATTTTACTACAGTGGCTGGAGAAATTTTTAGGAAAAGGTCTTTCACTTGTACAAGGGAATAAATCCTGATTGTTTATTTGCATCTCAATCCAGTCCATGAGATGACTTATATACTCTCTTGCAGGTAGTGGAGTAGGCTTTTTGAATTTATCCCCATCAGCCCATAAATATTCAAATCTTGGCCCTCCAGACATTGTAGGACAAGTCTGTTCAGTACAATATTCAGAGATAGTTCCATAAATTAGATTAATCCGATTGAAGAAGTCGACAACTGAAATTATTTTATGATAATTATTACTACAGGATATAATAAATATACACAAACCATGGACAGCTATCCAATCATTAAGATCTTCGCCTTGCGGAAGTTTGACTGCAGCTCTTAGGTTAATTCCAGAATTTAAACTCGCTTGAGCTTGTTTATATAAACTGTATCGGATTGTACCATGAGTAAATTTCTTTTTTGGCCGGAAAGTCTAAAATTGGATTCAAAACATTTAAGTACACATAATAACTGCGTAAATCATATAATAAAATGACTTGAATAATCATTTATAGAATCATGAAAGTTGTTACCTTTCCTTTCTGAAAAAAATCAAGGAAATTGTTCAATGCCATGTTTTACAATGATAATTTCAACACAAAATACCAGTCTACTGAAAGTAAAACTTTTTTTGCAAGGTTAAAGAAATGTCAAAAGTTTGTTTTTATCAATTTGCATTGATAATATACATTAGTGATTAGTGACATCTATTAACAGTAACTTAAAAAGGACAAATGTGGCAACGGTTGAACAGATCAAAAGGATGGCTTATTTCCCGTTGAAATAAATTGAGCATTTCAATGGCACATATATGTGATCTTTACATTATCAGCGGTACAACCATAGAGATTATAAAAAGTATATATTGTATATATCTATGGGTATGACAAGTTCTTTTAAGTCAAAAATCGCTTCCGAAGAAATTTAATGCCTTCACTATTCATTCCTCTGTTGCAATATATATTTTTTAGAATTTCTCTTTACTGTTTCTCGAATTAAATTATCAAAAGAAGCGGTAATCTTCCTTGTTATTCGTTTATATCTCATTTGAGGGTTATGCTGGATTATTTATACATTTGTATTCTTGATTTTTTTTAGAGACAAATATCGGAACGTTCCACGACGATATAAGTTTGAACAAATGAAGCTCAAAATTCAACAGTTGATTTAGGTAGAGTTCAGAAAAACCGTTATTCAGTTATATTTATTCTAATCAGGGCATACATTTCGATAATTGAGTGTTCTTCATTATATAGAAGGTGACTGTCCCACTGTTCAGTTTTGAAAAATTACTATAGAGCCTGGATAACGCTCAAACAAATTATAAGTTATTCTGGCTCATGAACGAAGATCCAAATATTGAAATAGGACCTTTGACAGTTGATATAGAAGGTGTTTTTGAAGTTTTCGATTTATAAAAAGGTAATGATGAAAAAAGATTTATTCAATGTGTCTGTGATAAGTTAACAGATGATTCTGGAAATAGCAGAGAGAACCGAGTATCACAATTGGAGTGAAGTATATCTCATTACCTGAAAACAGAATGATTAGGTACTTTTTTCTAAATTTGGTGAGGTAAATATATTGTTTATCTTTATTCAAAAAAACAATCAGTTGAGATAATATTAATTTTGAGTTACTTTTGTACTTCCAAGGGGAAATCATCATATGACGGAAACCACAATGCGCGGCTAGCTCATACTAATGTTATATTGTGAATGTTTCAATATTTCAGGTAGTTACGATATGGAAAGTATTACCAATTTAGTAAACTATATAGCTTGTTGACATAAGTATTTTCAATTATCAGAAATACCTGACTAATAGATAAGGTAACATTGTAAAATCAATTGGTACCTAATATGTATCTTTGGTGTAAACACAGAGTAGTCTGTGGTATAAATAAAAACAACCTTGTATGTTGTTTTTATTTTGTTTAATCTTCCTCTTGTAGATGATCACCACAGAGTACATAACTACATGAGCGTCAGAAAACGCCTCATGTATTCAAAACGTGTTCGTCTGTGATTCAAATACATTTATTCTGGCATTGAAACGATGACGTCACATCAACTATGATTTGAAACATATTCATCATGATTCGAAACTATAAAATAGCGCGAGTTTGGTTTTGAAACGAAATTTGACATTACGTAACGTCAGTTGTCAGTTTCTGCTTTATTTTGATGGTTATAGTTTATAAAGTACTAAAAACTTTTCATCAAATACGTTGTAAGGATGTATAAAATAAAGCTGGACAATTATTACTTGTGCTAGAGAGAATTGAAAAGTTTGTTTTTATTATTGAATTTGACATCTGTCCATTCCGGCGAATCTTATTAATGACGTAACTACGAATCGTTTTTGAATACACGCTCAAATACGATTGAATGCCAAAAAACACCTCAAATCATTATTTGTCGAACAAAACCACAGTCATTTCTATAACTGATTGTATCAAAAGTGAATCTGTTTGCTTTGATCTTGACTGTAGAAGGAGAAAGACACCATAGGCACCGTATAGAAGTTTACTTATGTACGGTGCCAAAGATTTCTTTTCATAAAAATATACATAGGTTCAAATTCTATTTCCTGCATCTTCACATAAGGTCGATTGTATTGGACAAAAGTTTTCCATTTTGGGGAACCTCCATTTCGGATGATACAAAAAATGCATTCAATACTGTTTCATATTTGTTATGATATGAAACAATTTGCAATGTGACGATTCATTCATTATATTTCATCAATAACTTAATTATTTAAAATACGTGCCTCTAGTTTTTTCATTGATTTTTGTAGCCATTGTTATAAAAAATTCTGCTATATATTACAATTTATGTGTTTTTCTACATTTGTCTCCGAAAAATATCATTAATTATCTTAGAACTCAAAAATACATCAGCTCCACATATCTTTTGAAAATTTTTAAGTAGATGTGAACGCCCATTCATTTCGGGGGTTTTGTGTAAACATGGAAGAATTGTTCAAAAGCTAGTTTTTATCGAACATACACAGATTCTAGGGTGTATTGTGTGATACAAAGAATCAGCTCTCCTTTTGACGTGTACAATTATTCGATAAGGGATAAGTGACACCTGTGTAAATTATTTGCAAATTGAAGTTGATGGTTGCGGTTGTGCGAATTCATTTAAAATGGCGTCGATGTGTTTGTGAGATTTTGTTTAGCAAATTGAGCTGAAATTTCAAATATATTCACAGAAATTCTAATTAACAAAATATGTGAATGGCGAATTATCGAATTTCTTTAACTTGTTCTATCCCCGATGTTGAAAATGCAAACAGAATTGTTGAGAATAATTTTTGATAGAAAACAGGTGTTGTTTTGTTTCCAAGTATATTGTTCAACTAGTTTCATGAATTAAAATGTAGTGAAGAATGCCTAAAAATGGAAACAAAATTGTGCCGTATCTGCGGAAAGTTGGGACAAAATTTTTTACATATTTTCAAAACGGAGGGACTCAGGAGCAAGATAGAAACATGTTTGCCAATAATTGTGAGTATATACTGTTTTCCGTTCAATTAACTGCTTTGATCTCTCCAAGAAACCCTGCAGTACAATTCTGCACATTGTTTTAGTAGGATTAATATATATTTGTAGCAAAGAAAAGAATAACTCTACAATGGATCAAAAGCAGAAGAATACTAAGCGCCTTGGTGCAAATGAAGCTCACAATATTCGACAACTAACAAATACCAGCACTGGATTTCTTATGGTGGGTCCCAATTTCCGCGTTGGCAAAAAGATTGGTTGTGGTAACTTTGGAGAGCTTCGCTTAGGAAAAAATTTGTACAATAATGAACATGTAGCTATCAAGATGGAGCCTATGAAATCTAAGGCTCCACAACTCCACTTGGAATATAGGTTTTATAAATTACTTGGTTCATATGAAGGTATACCAAATGTATATTACTTTGGACCCTGCAGTAAATACAATGCATTAGTTATGGAGCTATTAGGTCCAAGTCTTGAAGATTTGTTTGATATATGTGAGCGCAAGTTTTCATTGAAAACTGTACTTATGATTGCTATACAGTTACTTTGCCGTATTGAATATGTGCATTCTAGACATTTAATTTATAGAGATGTCAAACCTGAAAACTTCTTGATTGGCCGCTGTAGCACAAAGAGGGAAAAAATCATTCATATCATTGATTTTGGCCTAGCCAAAGAATATATTGAACTTGAAACAAATAAACACATACCATATAGAGAACACAAATCTTTAACAGGAACGGCAAGATATATGTCAATCAACACCCATCTTGGAAAGGAACAGTCTCGAAGGGATGATCTTGAGGCTTTGGGCCATATGTTCATGTACTTCCTGAGGGGATCCTTGCCTTGGCAAGGATTGAAAGCTGACACTTTGAAGGAGAGATATCAAAAAATTGGAGATACCAAAAGAGCCACAACTATTGATTCTCTTTGTGAAGGACATCCTGAAGAAATGGCAGTGTATATGCGCTATGTTAGAAGATTGGACTTCTTTGAAACACCAGATTATGAGTACCTTAGGAACCTCTTTACTACACTTTTGACAAAAAAGGGATTTGTTGATGATGGTGACTTTGACTGGTCTGGAAAAACGATGAATACCTCTGTAGGTTCTTTAACAACTACAACACATGACAAAGTAGTTTCACCAAAAAGAGCTTTAGGAAAAACTCATAGAACAAGTACTGGGCATGAAATAAAGCATCACCCCTTGGGAAACTTGACACTTGCTGAGCGTCATGACTCAGTTCAAGTTCTGAGTTCAACAAATAATGAATTGAATGTTGATGATGCTACTGCACATAGTAGTGCCCCTATTGCCCAGCCACAGGAGATTGAGATATTTGATGAAACAAAATGCTGTTGTTTTTTCAAAAGAAAGAACAGAGGTGTTATAAAACATTGAGTCGTGATTTTCATTATAGCTTATTAAAAAACATGTTGCTTGGTTTATTTGTTGAAATAGTTTGAATTTACATTTATTGCTGTTGCCTAAAAAATCTTTATTGATAGTCTGTGATCTTATTCAAAAGTAATCTAGTTGTTTTTCGCTGTATCAGAATTGATTTTTTTTGTAGTCAGGGTTCCCATCAATTTGATTGTCAATTTTTCAAATGTCAGATGCCTGGGACACATTTTTTATTGGAGATTTTGTTGAAACTTTGAATAGCAAGTGTATTCTAAAAATTTTATTTGTCACTATAAACAATTATCTTTTTTATAGAATGTTAAGAGTTTTAGACTGATATTTTTAATGTCATTGTTGAGTTGTTATTTGTTTTTTCACCTATCTACTGCCTTGGAAACAAAAATGTATCTGCATGGAAAATATGGAAATTTGGTGGGAACCCTGTGTAGTGAAGGTGAGTTCATAGTGAACAAAATATTTTATACTATCAAATGTAAATAACTTCTACAGAGTGTGCCTGGTAGTACTTATTGATTAATACCTTTACTTGAATATTCATTCCATATTCAAGACATGGTCTGATGGTTGTCAACTATTTTCAGTAGGTGATATTCAACACATGAAGCCACCAGAACTCTAAAAGTTTGAATTTAAATCACATTCATTCATCATTTCATTTTTTATAGGTTGAAAAAAATATAAAAAATGATTAATCTGAGATGGCCCACTCTGTATATATTATATCCATTTCACAAAATGTTGACAGATTTATACAACCTGTAAGTTGGAGATATGCCAACTCTCTCAATTCGTGATTAGTCTGTCAAAGTTTTTTGTGAAATATATCTAACACATAATTATCAAATGTTTCTAGCTAACTTTCTGTTGTACATACAGTTTTTCATCAATAATTATTGCTTCAGCTGCCCTAACATGTAGTAAAAAGATTAAGACCATTAAGATATTTTTATTGAGGAGAAATGTGTATTTGAAAATCAAATGATGATGAAACAGTAAAATGATTTCTGCGAGAAGAAAATCTGATAAATATAAAAAACTCATTTAAAATTTTTTGAACATTTGAAATTTGTGAATATCTTGAAAATAAAGTGAAATACACAAAGGATATTATTTTTTTTATGATAAAACAGAAATTTCTATTAATGAAATTAAACCAGAAAAATATCGAAAACAGTAATATTTAACCAATGAAGTGTGCTATGTTGAGGTGGATTTCTTAAAAAGTTGAATAATCAGGGAGTTACTTTCATATACTAAAAATCTGCATCGAATGCAGATTTAACCCGTAACTGCTACTACCCCACTTTTATACCATTCGTACTAATACTGGGTCATGTAGACCCATATCTCAAAAATAGAAATAAATATTCAGAAACCAAATTTCATTTATTCAAGCGAAAGAAAATAACAATCACAACATTTATGACAAGCTCAAGTGAAATGAAAATTAATTTTTACCGTCTGGACACACGGTACAGCAACATTTCAGACAAATTGGTTTTTCACATGTTCTACAAACATAGATAGTTTTTCTGTCTTTTTGGGGGGGGGGGGCAGAGGCCACATATTTTCCTTTATCTATTTTCCTGGGTTTCTTCAGCTGTCTGCCGAATTGTAGGATGGATTTTGAAAATATCTGCTGCTCTGTCGCGAATTTGTCGCGTGATAAAATTACAATTAATTCTTGTGTGGACGTGTTGAGAGCAAAGAGCTAACCCAAGGTCCATCAGATAATTATATAGAGAAATTTCTTTTCCATGTCCTCCAAATTGGTATAGGATGCGACTGTTCACTCCGTATATATTCAGAATACAATAAAATACTGTAGTGGGCCATCTTCTAGAATGACGAGATGTAGTATAGTTGGCACACTTTTCGTCTAATGCATCTACCCCGGCTTTGGTACTATTATAAAACAGCATTAAATCATGTTTTTTTGTGGCAGCATCAATTTGATTGTCATGGTGCATAGAGGATAGCAGAGAGACACTTTTATTTTATTTTGGGACGTAGCTGACAAGAGTAAGATCAGATGTGAAACCAAAAAGGGAGGAACCTACTTCTCTAGCTCTGGATGGTAAAAATGCGGCAGGTATTTCTCTTTTATGTTTCTTCATAGTTCCTAAATATGTCAGGCCTTTTTCTTTCAACTCCCGAGCTGCCACGATTGATGTATACCAATTATCTGCAGTGAGATTTCGTTTGGAATTGTAGAATGATTCAGTCATTCGTATAACAACTTGTGTAGGGTGAGGAAGTGATTTTTCTTTGCATTGTTTGCTACTTTTTAGTGATTTCTTTTCCGATATACACCTCAGCATTGTACATATAATGTGTTTTCAAATCAGCTAAAATCTGAATTTTAATGCCGTACTTTGCCGGTTTGTTTGGGATGTACATCCTAAAAGATTATCTCCCTCTATGGAGCCAACATTTCATCCAATGTTAGGAATATTCCAGGAGTGTAGTTAGGATTTGAGTTCTCAACAAATTTTTTGAATATATTGGATATTGCAGCAAGTTTATCTGTTTCACGACGCTCAGCTCGTGTTTCGAAGTCATCAAATCTAATGGCAGCTAAAAGGAATAGAAATCTAGCTAACGTCATGGTAAAATGTCTACCTGTTCTATCTGTTGCCCAAAGAGATTTCAGATCCTCGTGGCCAGATTTGAAAATACCTTGCAAATGTAATAGGCCAATGAATGCTACTATTTCAACTTTATTTGTGGATTGTATGAAACGGGAATGGAATGTATATCTTGAGTTACGTTTAGTTTTGAATGAACTGTAATTCACTCTCATAAGATCAATATTTTTGTTAGTGTTTGTAACAATCTCTGCCAAGATATCATCAGAAATAATCAATCTCCATGCTTGTAATGTGGGGTTTTCTCGTGCAGGACCTTTTAGACCAGGCAGAATGGTGTGAATATTCTCTGCTCGCTCTCGTTGTCTAACTGGAGCTTGTTGTGACCATTTCATACATGGTTTTGTAGTTTTCTTATTCAATCTTCCATAGAATAATCTTTTTCTACAAATATTTTCTTCCACTCCATCTACACCAAAATTTTGTTCATTAGTATCCTCGTTTTCACTACCACTATACTCTGTATCTGCTCTAGAGTTTTCATCATTTTCGGGTACCCACTCATCATTTTCACTTTCTATATCATGATCACTGAACAGTTCTTGATCAGATTCCCCTTCCTCGCTTTTGTCCCCATCAAGAAGAATAATATTTGTTGCATCCATTTCATCATCAGCTGTTATACATTGGGAGCTAGAAAGACCTTCCTCATCTTCTCCTGTAATTTCTTCATCGGCCCAAAAATATTCACTTGTTAGTATATCAGCAAGTTCTTTCTCAGTTAAAAGTTTTCGGTTGTCCATATTCACTGCTAGAAAAAAAAGAATTCTGAAATAATTGAAAATTATACCCAATCCGTTGTTTATGAGATATAAGTTTCCAACGTATCGAAGATATGTTATGCTCATACAGTGAAATACTCCCCTTATTACTATCGCCGGGTCTTTCAGACCCTAATTAGCACGTACTTCGTTAAAAATGGAAGGAATCGATGCGATCTGCATAACAGTTAAAACAGTACTGGAGTAGACGAGAAGTCACGGATCATCAATTGTCTGAGCTTTTTGGTCGGTAAGGGAGAGGTATGCAAATATATCGCTAGGTCGTACAGACCCGGTAGTAGCAGTTACGGGTTAACTGAAGGGTTAATTAAAAAATCATTAGTAGAACGATATATCCGATAATAATAGCAGGAACATTTTCAAAGTATTTAGGTCTATTTTATTTTCTATATTCAATGAATACTACCTTCAGAAGATGAGTAAACATTTTCAAAATATTATTGTCATGTCATTAAATCAACAGGGCAGCTGAAAAAATATTTAACATTTATTGAAGCTGAGTGAATGTATTAATGACAATAATATTCATCTTGAAACAAGTAAATTGTTTAGCACAACTTTCTTGCATTGCAGATATTGTGAAGTCTGGTTCTGCTTTGAACCAACTTTGTTTGGTATCGTTATTATTGTTATGTACTTGTTTTCACTGACGTTTTTCTTTATTTTGTGTAAAATTATATTAGATTTTTTTTCATTTTGTTCAGGATCACTTGAAAAAAATTTATGTATTTTTTTTGGTCTCAAGAATAATCTTGATCTCTCATATAACTTGATGGGGAAATTTTTCTGCAAAAGTTTATCTCTGCTCCACTGAGATTCAGTGTTTTATCAAGTATTTGATAATTTTAGTGTGCTGACAAAGAACTATAATCGAACTGTCAGATGTTCCTACAATGTTTTTTCTTGATTTGATACCAAACAAAGTTGAAATCTCTTATATGTAATTCTGGTTCTGATAAAAATCATTTCACATACATGAAATTGATATCCCCATAGTTTATGAACTTTGAAACATTTTTTCAGGTTTCTCCATTCTGTCTCCTTCCTGATACAATTTGTGGAGAATGTACTGAAAATGTAGACAACTTTTATTTGTTCGTAAAAAACTGTTTGCAGAACATAATAATACTGGAAAATCAGTATAATATTCAGGAATCATCCCTGAAGTCAAAACAAAAAAGAGATAAAGGTTGCCATGTGGATTTTAGTGATCGAAAAATCAATAAGGGAATACAGACTGATGACTTTCTGGATGTTTTAGCTGGTAAAAATTATGACTTGGACAAATTTCGTTTGAATTTTCCTCAGACTGTAAGTTTTCTTAATAATGAAGGTATTTTAACCAAAAATAATCTAAGCTTAGTTGACTATGATATTGATACAGACTCGAGTTTGGAGGAATCTGTTATCAATAATGGAAACGTTATTTTGGGGGAAAAATTGCGATCTCTAACAGAAATTTCGAAATTTGTTGACTCTGTAACAAATACAAATTCTATTTCAACAAAGTCTCTGTATTTTGATGATACAGAAAAAAATTTGATTAGTGAAATATCTCAAAGAAAAGGGCTGAAGCGAAAAAGTGACTTTATAAAAACTTCAAAACCAAAAATTTTCAAACTGCACACATCAAATAGAAGGAAGAATAAAATACCAATGAAACTAGATACACAAGGTTCTGGCGAAACTAGTAGCCTTACTTTGGAAAATGAAAAAATCAATACATCTCAAAAACAATCTAAACAATTGAATGATGATTCAGATACTCATCGTTCCCTAACATATCAGGTAACAGACATTTTCAAATATGATTTTGAAGACCTTAAAGTTTTTATAATTTTCAGGATGAGAAGGTTCTGTCATCACTACCACAAAGTTGTCTGCTTTGTGACACTCATTTCTCAGGTCCAGCTTCTTTAGCTTCACATGTTTTTGAAGCACATGGTATTGATATGGCTGAAGTTGTTTCTTCTGGATCTGGAGAATCCTTACCAGAAAGAAGTAGAAAAAAAATTCCCAATCTTGTCAAAATTTCTGATTTGAAAAGAAGTGATTCAATAGGTGAGTACATAGTCCTAAACTTCAATAATTCAAATCAACTAAATGGAAAACAAAGAAATAGGTTAGATAACTGCTAATAAATAAATGGAATTATTTTATGTACATATGAATATCATGTCACTTTAAGTCTTCATAAGAAAAACACATACATTTTTCCATTGATTTATATATTCTGAATTTAAATAGCCATTTATTTGCCATCTGAAGATCTGGGAAGCAGTGACCCTGACCAAACAATATCTTTTCAATTTACTAATCATTATGAAGAGGTGATTTTTACATTGGTGTTAACAGAGATAATAAGTGAGACTTTTGTAGTATTTCTAAGTTTGTGACTGTAATTTCTTATAGCAGTATTCAAGTTTTCCCTGAGCTTGACATTCAAATTATAAAATACTGGTTTCAAAAATTTTATTTGTATTCCATTTATTTAATGAAATTATTCATTTCAATTTTTTAAGGCACTTTTCTTCATGTTGTAAAATGTTATTGGTATTTTATGTTCTCTTCAGATGACCAGTCTTCTGATCGTCAACGAGAACCTCCAATGCTTCATCCCAACTTCGTTTGTCCTAATTGTCCAGGAATCTTCACCAGTAAACAAGATCTTATGATGCACCTTCGTCTCAAACATGTACAGCTTGCTGCCTACCTTTGTGGCATCTGCTTGACCCAATGCACTTCCTACATGAATTTGAAGAGCCATCTTCAAATTTGTTCGCAGCAGCACCAAATAACTACTAAATATATTTGTCAAGTGTGCCAGTATGGAGACGATAATTTTAAGTGGCTTGAGAATCACGTTTTAGTCCACGATTTTTTGTTGGAAACTTGCAAAAAACTGTTGAAGATGTTTGATCCAGAAGATTACATTGACACTAATGAAAATGTGGAAAACGTTGGTTTGACATCCATTTCTAAAAGCTTCAGTTGTAATGAATGTGGCGCTAGTGACTTTCAGACCTTCAAAGAGTTCAGTACTCACAGAAGAAATATTCATTCCATATTTCACTGTGATTTATGTAATAAGTTTTATGGGCGCAACTCACATCTATGGAAACATGTGAATAGGCTCCATAAAGGACATCCTAGTATAACATGCCAGCTTTGTTATAAAACATCTGCTTCCAAGTATCACCTATCCCAACATTTCAACAAAATTCATTTAACAAAAACACCCAAACAGAAAAGTTCTGATGCTCAATCTGTTGAAAAAGATTTCTTACCCCAGTTATCTGAATGTGATATTCAGACTCTTGACCATATTGTAGCTCAAGAACAGAATAGTAATATAAGTGATCAGGATTACAATTTCCATAGTCAACAGTCAGATGCAGAGGATGAGCTGATTATCAAACAAGAACTTTTCCAAATAAATGAAGAACCACTCTTGGCTCCGAAAGAAATTGATTCATCCCATGATCTGTATACTAATATCATAACAAATTATACACCTCCAGTAAATGAGGGCGATTATAAGTGTCCAAAATGTTCCAAAGCTTTTCATAAAAAAGTATTACTCAAGAAACACAAAAAGAACTGTAGACCAAAGATGCAAAAAGATCTCCTTACACGTTGTAAAACGTGCTCTAGAATATTCAAAGATCGACAAAGTTTAACTAAACATTTAGTCAACTATCATTCAGAATACACCTGTGAGATTTGTAATGAAAAAGTACAGAGTAAGTGCGAAATTATATCTCATATTAGATTCAGGCATCCTGGTTGTGATTTGTTTTGTAAAATATGTGAAAACATCCTGAGAAGTAAGTATGATCTTCAGGAGCATATACAAAACCATTTAGATTCTTACATTTGTCAATTTTGTGGAGATCCTTTACCAAGCAAAATAAAACTTAAAATGCACATTCTTAGTTTGCACCGTAAGATTTTGAGTTTGTCATGTGGCATTTGCCTAAAACTGTTTGAAACCCAGCATATTCTCCGAGACCATGTAAGATTGGTTCATAAAGCCCAATTGACGCCTCTCACTTCTTGCCCCGTATGTGGTAAGAACTATGGATCAAAATGGAAAACATATGACCACCTCAATAAATCTCATGGGAGAATATTCAAAGCATGTAAGACTTGCCTCGAGGTGTTTGATAATGAAGCTCAATTGCAAGCACATTGTGATGTTACGGCACATGGGTCCCAAAGCACCAATGTGACTGCCACCACAATAAGAAACAGTATTATGGCTCATATTACATCTGCTATAAATGAAGTAGCTGCTAATAATGAAATACCTGCTGACAATGAAACACAGAATGTTGAAGAAAGTGACAGTGATGAAGAAGTTGAAAGTGATAGTGAGTACGAAAATATTGACAATGAACAGTATATTGAAGAACCAAAGTTATTGCTGTCGCAAGACAAGAAAATTTCATTGCTGGAAAAGCGCTTACTGGGGAAAAATCCAACTGAGGATGACTGTTTTTCAAGAAGTGATGCACAACTAACAAGTTTCAAAGGAAATAAACCAATTAGTGAAACAAAAAAACCGTTGACAATTATCACAAAAGAAGAAGATCCAGAACGTAATCTATCTCCATGCAATCCTCCAACAAACTCTTCCAAACGAACTGTATATGTGAACAGTAATGACCCCTCCTATTGTGAAATCTGTTTCAAAACGTGGCCTGCAAAAAAACATCTTTGGCAGCATTACATTCGTTGCCATAAGGCAGTAGCTGCTACAGTATGTGGTATTTGTCTCAAAACAAATGAAAACTATGAGAACTTGCAGAAACACTTACGTGAAAATCATCCTACTTTACTGCATGGTCAAGGGTTTGGATCAAATTTTATATGTAGAATTTGTGGCAGGTACCACAATGCAAGTTCTAAATTACGTTTACATATGGTAATACATGAAAACTTTGACTGGAAATTAGTGGAAGATGTGAAAGAATCAGCGAAACAAATAAATAATTCAACCAAACCTACTAATGGATACAATGATGTCAAGGGAAAGCCTCAACAGGAAGATTTTGATGACACCATTAACTATGAGAGTTTGATAGAGCAAGTGGAATGTTCCTCTCAATCTGATAACGAAGAATCGGAGACTGAATGCTTGCAGAACGAGATTAAAGAAGAACAGGATTCATCTTCAGATGAAGATAGTGATGATTCTGCATCTTCAGAAATTTCAGATCATGAGTTATTTGACATTGTGGAGAAAAAACAGAGTGCAAATGAAAAACAAGATTATGTTTCTACAGGTGATGAGTCGAATTCTAGCTGTACTGATGAGCAGAATGCAGTCAGTAAAAGTAATTCTTCTGAGGATGATTGCTCTCAAGGATCTCAGTCACTTTCTTCTCAGAGTAAGTTCAACAATGGATCAAATACTAATTCTGCAGATTCAACATTGAATAGCAACATATTCAGACGAAAACCTGAGGAATTAGACTCTGCTATTAAATCCATCAGTTACGAATGTCCCCTACCAGTGAATGTAAATGCAGTGCAGGATTATTGTGAACTACAAAGTAATTGTCTCAATGAGAATGAAATTGAATCAGCTGTTGGGAGCATACTATAAGATTTATGTACATAATTCATTTCACAATATAGTAGTATTTTTGATAATTAGTAGGGGCAACACTATTTTGAGGTTCGATAGAGTGGCATATTTAATAAATGAGAATTGGCATATAAGTTAACTTGACACTGTCTGTGCTTTTCATTTGAACATATTTCCAGGGGTAGTGGAACACATTGATTGAAAGCTGCATTTCGAGTATCAAATATTTGAATTCCGGTTTTTGTTTTCAAGATTCGTATGAATTGAATTTGTACTTCACCTCTATATTACATTTTCATCATATAAAGAATATAATAAGGTTGGTAGCAGCTATAGATTAAATACATTTAAAAAATGAAGAGAAATACATGCTAATTGAAACCTGTTTATGGTTTCGAGTTTTTAAGCAATCGCTTGTTAGAATTCAATCCCGGCATTTCTAGCTAACAACTTTATATATTTATTTAGTACACTATTAATCAGCCACAGCCGATTAAAGAACGGTAAAACAAAACTCGGAAGATACAAAAACAAGTACTTGTAAAATGGCCAATAAACAAAACAAATAATAACGAGGACAATACAAACAGTGCAATATTGTGTCTGTCTACTCTTATGTGGAAGGATTATTTGTTATAAATTAAGAACAGCTTTTCTTATTGGCAGGTCAACAATGAAAAAAATAAACCTGCTAACATAAGAATACTTGTTCTCAATTCTAAATACCATATCGTCCCACAGTGTGGAGTTGTATATGATTTTTTTCTTCAGTAATTTTACTTCATCATCTTCAGAGGCTTTTGTTGTACTATGTTCTGTCATCCTTGAAGTAGATTTTTATTCATTAGGAAATTCAGGACCTCATACTTTCTGCCACAGACCAAATCGGGGTTTCTCCGAGTACCACTCTTGCCAGCTGATCTGAAAGGTCCCTCAATAAATAAGTAATCGGCTTCGTTAACAAGCTGGATTCATTTGGTTGAATTTGAATAAGTGTGAGCCAAGATAAACCCTCGATAGTTGCAGTGGAGACCACAGACCTACTCACTTTACACCTATCCTACCCTACACCGTTCCTCCAACCTTGAAGTGATGAAAGACAAACCTCTGAAGATGCCAGCCACCGAAAAAACCTGAAACAGTTTTAAAATTTTCTAATTGATTCGGCCGTTACTTGATGAAGATCCATAGTAATTTCAAAAACTACACCTGACGATTTGATCTCCACAAACTTTATTTGAAAAATATATATCACAACATGTTTCGCTAAAACATTAGCTATTTCAAGTGTTTTATTCACTTGAAAATGAGCATTCTTTTACTATAAGGAATCAAAGGAAAAGCAGAAGTGTGGTGTATAAACACTCTCATTGATTTATATGGTGAAAACTTTTCTAAAGTTAAGGATAAAGTAAAAGTTTGGTGTATGAATCAAAGTTTAAAAAAATGTTTGCCTTTAGATGGAGAATTTAAATTATCGAATATCATATAATATGTCAGATTATGTAATATTTACATAGATATCTCATCTCGTAATAACATGCTTATTATTTCCTCTTTTGAGGAATGTGAATTAAAAAGAATCAAATTGATGTTGCTAATTTTTTTTTTCAATGCATAAATCTGGATACCTCATTATAGGCCCTCTTTGATAATGTCAACCAATTCTTGTAGTTGAATATATTTGTGATGTGATGCCATATAACTCTTTTAACTGTATTTTACTGTTTATAAATGTTTTCAATAGAAAATGGTCTCTTGCTATCATTTGTCATCTCCGATCGGTATTATTTTTAATAATAAAATTTGAGCTAGTCATTTTTCGGGACTTTATTTCTATTGTGAATATGAAAAGCAAAAAATCTCATTTGATTTTTTTGTATTATGGTTCCATACAATGTTGTAGTTAATTAAAGACTGTTTTCTTCGCACAATGATCTGATTTTTCAAGCTATGAGTAGATATTGTACCTATTTTTGTATTTATTTTTTTTATTATAGGTTTAAAACATTCCTTGAATGCTTTACTGTTTATTTTATAAAGTGACAGTCATTAAATATTTTTTAATGAATTCAAATATTTTTTGAATAATTTTCAAAAACCCCAATCTAACTCGGATGTGTTTTCGACTCTTAGCTCTATCTCTATAAAAAAGGAAATATACTGCTGAGAGCACTCTAGAGAATTTACAAATGATGTATTCGGCTGAAGTTTATTGTTTGGTTTGCAGTATTTTTATGTGTTCAAATCTGATTTTGTTTTATGAGGGAAAAAGGGATAAAAATTAGGAGTGCAATGTTTTCGAATAACAATCAATTAATAATTTCTCATTTAGAACTCTAGATTCCGTGCTGTAATATTGCACATGAAGAACAAAAAAGTTAAGTTTGTTATTGAAGTCTTACCGAGTTGAAATGTAGAATTAAATCTTTTTCTGACAATAATTTCAATACCTGGAAAAAAGGAAATACATACAGAAATGAGGAGCTGGGTACCTATTCCTGACCCTTCGCAGTGAAAAGTTTGTAGATATTTTACATTCTAAATAACCATGGCGTTTATCATTGTCGGTGAATTATTAAGATATTGCCTTTAAGAGTCGTTCAGGAAAATATTGGGCCTTCAATTATTTCAAAAATATACATTTTTAACTTTGATGTGTTCAGCAATTCGGAAATGAGTGAAGCTAAAATATGGAAGGACAACAAAAACTGTTGGCCAACTATCTCAATGTAATTTACAACCTACAGCTAAGATCTCTGTTATACATCGGTATTAGGTTAATTCTAGTTCACTGATGAATATCACTGTTGATTAGAATGTTAACACACTGTTATACCTCTCGCTGTTGTGTGCGTCACTGGACGTAGAGGCTGACGGCATATCCTGGCTATCACAACATTACCATGAAACGTATAACGGGGGCAAGTGAATAATATAGACGAAAGAATCTATATTGTGAAAAAGCAATTTGTTTTTTAAAAGAGGAAGTTGAACAAATAAGAAGTAGGTACTAGAGAAAGTAGACACATGGAAAAGAGTTGAGAGTACTGAAACAAGATAATCCAAATTACATTCAATGATTGAGATCTCAACTGGAGTTCATCATGCATACTAGAAAAATGGCACATCAAATATATCAGTTCATCACAAGAACTTACAGAAAAATACGGTGTTCCAGTTCTTTAAAGAATCTTTGCAGGGAGCCTTTCAAGAAAAAGTGGCAGAAAACGGAAAATTTGAGAAGATGGGAAAGGCCTTCATAAACCATTCCAACTAGAGCAGAGATAGTTGATTAAAGAATTGTATTAGATAAAAAATATATTTACCTTGGCTGCAGCACATATTACCTACGGATTGAACCGTAACTCCCAACCCTATTTGCATAGAAAAGTTGGGAAAAGTTAGACCTTGGAGTAAAGATATCACAGCAGGTTAAGAGAATAGAAGTCATAGCGGAAGGACCACTCACATGTCAACTCATTATTTATATAATTCAGTTGGCAGTTCTTGAATTCATCGAGAGAATAGAATCCGTTGTTATTGGAAAATGCTTTAATTATTCTCTTGAATTTGTTTTTGCTCAAATTTTTAATGTGGGCGGGAAGTTTATTGGAGAGGTTCAAGTCGAACGAATTTTTTATCGAGGTAGTGAGTCTGTATCGTGGATTCATCAACTGATTATTGTTTCTTGTATTATAATTATGCGTANTACAAGCAATAAACTCTAAATTTATAAATCCAACAAGCATTGCTGTCACACACACCTGGACAGCAACACTATTCTCGATGCTCGTTTCACTAACAGAGTTTATCTCATCAGATAAATTAACAGCTAAACAATTTCGTTCTACTTTAATATATATCCCCCAACTGAAAGAAAAAAAATTCCCATTCCAGATTATAAACGACAGAATATTAAAGTAAGCTCTTAACAAAATTACTGGCACTGATTAAAAAAAATACCATTTTATCAGTACCTATAGAAGGCAAATATCTCAATAGATACAATTACTATTGGAAAAGATGGCGAGTCCACTCTTCATGAACCATAGTGTTTTAAATATTCATTGTCACGAAGTTTCTCATATAAAATGAAAATTGTTGAACATTTTTGTATATTAGAATTGCCGAAAAAGGTTGTTTGTGAGATAAAAAATTTAACAAAGCCAACTGTTGACAGCAAAGTAGCGGTGAATGGTACCTAACATTTTTCTCGTGAGCATTTATCTAATTAAACGTAGATTAATTCTCCTACGTTACATAGCTGACGGGACTGCGAATAATCATTGAAGGCGACTAGGAGAATTATCAATAAGAAGGTATTATCGTATTGGAAGCAAAATTCTTATTGCTTTTTTGGAATCTTCATCTATTTCGGTAAATATTTTTGTTGGTTTACCTGACATTGAACACATCCATGTATAGAGGTACTTATTTTAAAATTGATTACTTCCTTCTTTTCCTTGGAAGATTTCCTCATCCTTGTTTTTTGTATCAAGATGGAGTAGTAGAAAGCCAAAAACTTTCTTTCCCAAAAATTAATCAATCCTAAAAATATAACCCCTTCAATTCTAAAATAAACTTCTAATTTCACCGTTTATTATGAGATAAGTAGTGTTCTCTGAGAATATATGCAATATGCATATTTTGTTGTAAAATAACCTTGAAAGTGCGTGTTTTTCATTTATTATATTTTTTAAATGTGGAAACATGGGTCCATTGAAACAAAAACACATTGAATTCAATAAAATGAAACACAATGTTCTTCGATCTTTTCTCTTATTTCTCAAATTTTACAAATTGTTTAGTTGGTTTACGTTAGGTTTAGCTACTGAGTTTATATATGTCTATCTTGTACCCAAAGAGTCATCTCAGACGGTACTAATGAGGAGCAAGTACTCCAAAACTGGTCTATCGGTGTTCGTCTCGACTAAATGAAATTANTGCTTTTCATTTATAGAAAGTTACTTGCAATGAATCTTCCAAATGAAAGATATTGTTTATAGGTGCCTGATGGTTTCACTTCAGCTTTCTGAATTACAGCGGAAATGTGTGATTTATAGCTAAGTTTGGAGTCTAGGATCACACATAGATCTTTGATTTCAAAACCAGAATGTGAGGTCAGATTATTTATATCATATTCGAAAGTGATTGGGTGAAGTGTTCGATGAAAGTAAAGAATATGGTAATTAGATGCGTTCAAACACATATCATTTTGCGTACACCAATTCGATAGGCAATCTATATCATTTTGTAGAATCAATGTATCGGCCTCACTTTCAATCATTTAAACAAAACTTGAATCGTCATCAAATAGCAAAGCTTTACTTTCACTTCATATTTTTTAGAAAATGGTGATCTTGGAATGCTATGAAAATCATATGATTCTACTCATCTAGGTATGTAAAATATAACATAATTTTTGACTTTTTACAGTAACAAAAATGATTTGCTTCAGAAAGCTTTTTTTAGTTTTTCTGAAAACAAAAGTGACCGAGGTACCTTTTGTGAATCGCCCGTTGAAATATTCCGAAACCAAACTCGACTTTCATCACAGTAAAATTATCGGTTAGTATTTTGACGTTTGGTTTATTGGTTTACCAGTTTTTAGGGAACGGTGTTCCATTCTAACAGGTTTCTCAGCAGAACCATAATGATAGTGATTTTAGAAACACCAAACCTTATTTCTAGCTTTTGGAACATAACTTGAAACTCGGGAACTTTGACACAAGATACAGATGCGAAACCTTTGATGCCGCCTTTGATGTTCGATGGCTCAAAATTCGTAACCTTGAATATGATGTGTATACCACCTCGATATACACGGAGAAAAAGGTTTGGTTGATTTCAACGATTTGCTCTTAATGTACACTGAAAAAACACGCTATCGCTATTTTTGTGGTACATTATAATGAAATAAAGAAACTCATTAAGTTCAATAGTGAAATTTTATAAAAAATAGGAATATTTTTAATCATTTTATATATTTTCTCATTAGTCAGTGGACTATGATTGAAGACTGGTAGTAAACAAATCTTAAGAAATGAACTTGAAACGTTCAAGCCAGTCTCGAATTTACCTACACAGTAGGTTGAATGAACTGACGCCAATCAGAAAATAACTACTCCCCTGGTTCTGTTAGACCCATTATTGCGTCAATTGGTTCTCCCACTGAAAAACTTGCTTCTTTTCTAACAGACATTTTAACTGAAGCTTATGAATTTGATAACCAATATTTCATTAAAGATTCTTTTGATGTTTTCTCTATATTCAATAAAATGAAACCACAGATTAAGTACAGATGCGAAAGCTTTGATGCCGCCTTTGATGTTCCATGGCTCAAATTCGTAACCTTGATATGATGTGTATACCACCTCGATATACACGGAGAAAAAGGTTTGGTTGATTTCAACGATTTCCTCTTAATGTACACTGAAAAAACATGCTTTCGCTATTCACAGAAAAAGTGATGGTATTTTTGTGGTACATTATAATGAAATAAAGAAACTCGCATATTGACAAATTTGATTACAGAGATAAGTAGATATCATCAATCAAGTTCAATAGTGAAATTTCATAAAAATTAGGAATATTTTCAATCATTTTGTATATTACAAAAATTACACTTCATATTGGTTGAGATAAATTTCATAGATATACGAACAATACAAATAGCAAGCAAACTACCTTGTCACCCAATAACTGATAAACATAAACATAGGTTTTCCTAAATTATCATCATCTATTCTTCTNAGCAGAAAACTGTGTATTCATAAAAAAATATGCTATTTGCTGCTTCCAATTATTATATAGTCTTCTCACCATAATAACACAAGCATTTTGAACAAGTAACATTTCTTTTTTGCCATTTCCAATATCATGTAGCCCAACAATCTCATCACGACCAGTATGGTAGTAAAGATTACTTTTCAGAGATATTGCATCAATATATATAATGCAATGCCTGTCCTGATTTAACGTGGTTCGTGGTTTTGATCTTCAGAGATTTGAAAACTGCTTCATTTTGAAAACCTGGTTTAAATGTGAGCTTTTGAGTTGATTGCTCCAAACAACAT